CTTTTTCTTTTAAGTTTTTGAAATAAATCTTCCATTAAAAACTTTAAAAAACTCCCATAGATTCACATTAAGCCGGAGCACACAAAAGCGCGACTACTCTCGCTCCATGCCCGACCCAGTCTCCTATCCTGGGAAGGTCAGTTGTCAGTGAAAAGTTAGGGAGTGTCAGGGAATTTCCGCAAAAACGAATTATCGTGCCCATTTCACCTGGAACACCAACTATTCCGAGTTTCAATTCGATCTGGATTATTATCAACCACTTTATCATAGGCCTCTGGAGTGGGAGGATGAGGTCCAAAAAATACCTAGTTCAACCCCTTTTATCCCCATTAACAGTACACACCAACTTTAATTTTGCCCAAAAGCCAGCCTTGATCTATCTAATCAGAAAAATTTACACACTCCTCATATTCCTTGATACCAATGCCACCCTTTTGTTTTCGGCGGAGGGAGGGGGGGGGGGTTGGGGCTGGGGGGAAAGCGTAATATAATCTTGGCATTGTAATGCATCCCCCTCCCTCCTCCCCGTATTGGTAAAGTTGCATTACCAGCCTGAGTGGCCCACACCGTGCAGCCAGAGCTTAACCCGGGTTCCGTAGCATGAAGCAACTAAGGGTCTAATGCGACTGGGGAGGATGCTAGTCCATTATTTTATACAGCTGGTACCCATTTATACTCCTAGTCTGTGGCAACCAACATCGTTAGTAGCATCTTACATGGGTGGTATTTTAAATTTTGCTGCCTTAGCTTTCGCACACTACAAGGGAACGCCCACCATATGTAGTATACCGTACACGTAACTTGGGAACTCCTAATCCGGGGCAGAATCGAGCACCAAGTACAAAACCCTGAGAGAAACTACATAGGGTTGCAACAGAAATTAGACGCTCAAAATATTAACTCTTTCTCCGGCCTCATTACCTACTGAGATCTGCTCATGCAATACTGGCAGTACAAAGCCCTTACTAAGTACAATTACAACAGCTTTATCGTATTTTACATGAAGTACATTTAATGCAGGTTGCAATTCCGAATACACATTGAAAAGGCGGTTAACTTTGAGTTCAAACTAGACCTTTCGATCCCTCTTTGATCGTCTCATGCTTCGATGAAATTGAAAGTTTAAAGAACTAGGTCTCTGTTTAAAGCTATCCATGCAGTGAATGTAAACACCTGTTACTAACCGAGTTCAAGGGCCGTACTGTAAGTTATGGATCCTTGTTTTTCCCCCCTTCGATTAATGGCCCAAGCGCGAAGCGCGCGGGCCATCAATCGACGGGGAAAAAACGAGGATTCGTAACTTACAGTACGGACCGAGAAAACGAAGTTAGTAAGATATTTATTGTATCTGTACTGTGTCTGACTGGTTAGGGAACGATTTCTATTCACGCGGAACGGCTTCAAATTTCTGACGCACCTCGAAAACAAAACGAGTCAATTTGAAATCGTTTTTAGGTCATTTGCACGCTTAAATACCAATTTAGAGTAAAAGAAAGTTTTAAACTTTTACTTGGTATAAAAGTTAAGAACACTTGGCGATAAATCACCAGACAGTTTGGCAACAAACCAACTTTAAATTCTAGCGGGCCGTACAGGAGAGTGCGGCCCGCTAAATTGGTCAATCACAACGCGCGTACTAATTAAGAAATATAATAAATTAGAAGTAATTTTCATTTATGTATTTGGTTATTCAGAAACAACGGAAAATAACCTACCAATTAAATCTAGGGATATCCAAGAAGCCTATTTTATAGGTTGCCTAAAAGCAGCACAGGTATGATAAGCATTTGGGTCTAATTGTCTAGTCTAATTTAAATTGGAAAATCAGTTTGCAGTTTTGGTTTATCTAAAGACAGCGATATCCTCTCTAAAGTAAGAAATTTAGGTTAAAATTAAAATCGCTCTTTAATTTACCCATTCCTAACGTTTGGACTGCTACTCTGGTGTAACACTTACCACACGACCTTAAAACCTATTATAGCCCTCCAAATATGGCCATACGCATTTTCACTTTTTTTAAACCAGATGCACACCCAGATCCTCTTCCCCTGATGTCCTTCAAACAAAAACTGAAACTAAATCTCATACAGTCGCATTTACAAATAAAACAAAAGCGTTATTTCGTAACTGAATATCCATTAAGTTTCAACTGGTACCCATTAAGTTCCTAACCTTGTAGTTATATTTATTTATTTATTGCGACACAACTGCTTTTTTTCTTCCTTTTCTCATTTTAACCTTTACTGCCAACAACCTTAAATTCTAAATATTGAATTTTGTTACTCGGTTAGGTAAAGCAGCCTTTACTTCATCACGTTTGTAAATGTTTGGTTTAAAATAGGTAATTGTTGCTGTTGTTGTTTTTGTTATATTATCCCTGAATGGTTTTCAATCCTGAGAAAAAAGATTTATTTTAACCTCACTTCATTACTACAATGGATTGTAGTCTACGGACCACCCCACAAAATAGAATAAAAATAAGAAATAAATACTTCACTTATGGGTTATCTAATAGATTGCTCGTGTCGGCGAAATTTCGAGCATTACACCGTGCAAATGTAAGTAACACCCCCCCTCCGCTAAAAAAAAAAAGCGTAAAAGCTTTTCTCAGCGTAAGGAGATGCCAATGGCAAAAAGAAGGTAAAATTGTTACCTTCCTTATGATTCGTGGCTCAATCTGGCCATAGAAGATGTGTTTTTAGGTCGTTCAAGCTTATTTGTATCTGTAATTATGAAGCCTGGAACGAGCTCACGAATCCACGAGAGAATGGCTGAACAAAATGGTGGACGGGAAAGAGCACAAATTTCGAGGCTTCCCGGAGGCTTCCTGGAGGCTTTCACCGTCTTTCATATCCAGTATGGCCACAGCAAAGGAAATGGCAATATAACTCGCGCCCGAGCCTGAACCCAAGAATGTTACATGTGCAAAATGTAACGTTCGAGCTTTCGCCGAAACAATCCATAACTGAAATATTTCCTTCTTATATTTATTCTATTTTGGGGGTTGGTCCGTTGAGGGGGTCCGTAGGGGTATTCCGTGGACCGGTCCATAGATAATCCGCGGACCCGGTCCGTAGTGGGCCTCCAGACTGGGAATGAAATTTAAAATGACTCTCATTGAAATTTCCTGCAGTAGCGTGTCATGTTTGATTGACAACTGCTAAAAATCGGCGAATAAACTGCGACACGATAATCTGCAAAGAAAACAATATCCAAGCTAAGTTGTTTTCAGTGTTCGACCTATTTTCGTGAAATAAAGTTGACAGAATACAATTTTAATACACAATAACCTGCCATAAGATTATTGCAAAAATTAAAAGGTGCAATAAGCTGTAGACTTAAATTAAACCCTGAGAACCAAATATTATAAAATATTTAACACGGTGTGACTGAACGGAACAGTTTATTGATATTATTTCTTTGATAAAAACACTTTCCCGGGTGTCTTGCTATTTTATAAATACTGATCACTTTCGCTTCTTTTTCTGAAGGTTCGGTGCTGAAACTTTAACCTTTCCAGGAATGTATCGCGAAAGGTCATTATCCTGCAAATAAAAAAAATATCAATCGTTTCCCATCTGAACAAATTAAGCATTTCCCTGAACAAATATTACATCTGCCTTGAAACGAAAGGCAGGATCCTAAAAATCGATTCAACTGTGAGTGGAAGTTAAAGAAAGCAATTTCCCTCTTAGTCTTGCCTTGGAAAATAACTTGGCCTAATTGTAAGCTAAACGTTAATTTCAAAGCTAATTTCAAGCGGCCTTTTACATTAGCAATATACTGTCAACTGATTGAAAGTATGAATTTAAAGTAAGTTCAATTACAAAACATTTCATAGCCAACAGCTGATGGTTATTGCCTGAAACCGTTAAAACGTAGTGGCGCCAGAAAGACAGAATGACTCCAAGAGCTAATTGAAATGAAACCAAAACAATTTAGCTGCTAATACTAGAAGAAAATTAAAAATACGGTATTTGACACGAGCCCTCCAGATGCTAAAACATTCACGCTTACAGTGCATTTCTCAAACTCTCGAATAACTCACGACGGTGTTTGGATATCTGATCTTCATTAGGCCCCGTTCACAATACGCCGGAGGAATTTGAAAACGGAGGTTTCACTCTGAACGCATCAAATGTTTTTCTTCTGCACTACGCCGGAGAAATTTGAAAACGCAACAATTAACGGTTATTTTGAATTTGTGTTTGAGGAACTCGGGAAGGGGAATATCATAACCTCATCGTTTTTAGACTGTTCACAGCCCTCCATTTTCTCGTATTTTCATTCGATCGTTGAACGCGCCTCATCGTTTTTAGACTGTTCACAGTCCTCCATTTTCTCGTATTTTCATTCGATCGTTGAACGCGTCTCATCGTTTTTAGACTGTTCACAGTCCTCCATTTTCCCGTATTTTTATTCGATCGTTGAACGCGCCTCATCGTTTTTAGACTGTTCACAGCCCTCCATTTTCTCGTATTTTCATTCGATCGTTGAACGCGCCTCATCGTTTTTAGACTGTTCACAGCCCTCCATTTTCTCGTATTTTCATTCGATCGTTGAACGCGCCTCATCGGTTTTAGACTGTTCACAGCCCTCCATTTTCTCGTATTTTCATTCGATCGTTGAACGCGCGGATAGAATCGAGAGAAAACTGGACGCCAGCGCAAAATGACTGGGTAGGGGAAGGGTTAAGCTTCGAGCTCGCTCACTTTTTCTTTCGCGTGCTTCAACTAAATAAGAGAGGCTGCGAACAGTCCACATCGTTTTCGTAAAGCTTCGTTTTCAAAAATGTTTTCCGTTCACACAAAGAAAAAGCTGGTGTCTTCATATTCCTCCGGTTTGAAGAACGTTTTCGGAAAGCTCTGTTTTCGAGACGTATTAGTATGGACAGAAGGCTTAACTGCAGGAAAAAATTCCGTTTTCAAATTCCTTCGGCCTAGTGTGCACGGGGCCTTAATTAGTATAGATTTTTACGATTTTTATCTCTCCATTTTCTCCTTAGTTTTAGTTTCGATTGAGAAAATATATCAAACACTCAAAACAGTGTTAGACCACATTTCCAAACACCGGCGAATCTCGTCACAAATGCTCCGCTACGCGTCGCGTAGTATTTTTAACTCTCTTCTCGGTGTTTAAAAATGTGGTAAGACAAGGTCTCTTGTGTTTGATACATTACTTCATCTCCACCTATGGTTAGATCTCTCTTCAATACAGAATGACATTATTGAGAATCACTCTCTCAACAGACGCAGTGCAAGTGGATAAGAATGCATTGAGTCTATCGATTTATTATACGAGATCATTTTAATTTACCTTTAAACTTTTAATTAAGTCTTTCTCTCGTTGGGAAGCTTCTTTAGAAAACAGAAATGCATTTAACGCCGTCTTAGCCGCTGGAAAAAAGGATTTAAATTACTAATTGCATGCTGCACTTCTCTGCAAAACGATAAATATTAGAAAGCACAAAAGTGTTGTTAAAACTGTATAAGAAGCAAGAAGCCTGTATACTACGTACTCAGTAATGCTATTCTACTCAAACTTGGCGAGGAAAATCTCGTTTTCCCAAGTACATATTATTCAGAAGAACCGTACACTTATCGTTTTTCGCCATACATATTTCAGAATGTAAAACTAGAATAAAAAGAAAGTTAATTGTAGAATGTGACAGTGAAGTTAGTCCCCAGTCTCTCGGTATAAACAGTGGACGTGTTGCCCTTGAACCCAGCTAAGTCTAAGATTGGTTTCTTACCTTTCCCTCTGCGGGCAGTTCCTGGGGTGAGTTTCACTTTATACCTGGCAGGGAAAAATGTTTGACACCAAAATGTTTAAAAAGTCAACCATGTTATAAAAACGATCATAGCTCTGTGTCAAGGTCTACTGAAGAAGAAAGCCATTGCTTAGAAGTTAAAAGCTTCTCCCACCACTTCTCTGACTAGGTTTTAGAGACGTACCGAGGGCAACATGGGTCGGCAGATTAAACGAAGACTTGCGCAGCTTTCTCATTTTGTGTAACAAAATCACGAACTAGAACCTCATTGAATGAAAGTTCCTTTCGAAAAATCAACACCTAACTTCCTAATCTTTGACTTTAATTTAAAGAAGATCAGTCACAGCATTTTGAGTTATTTTGGCCTTGGACGAAAACCTGAAAATAGTAGTTTACTAAGATAGAAAAACACCAAAGAGATAATAATAAACCATACAGGAACAAGGATGGTTAAGGATGGAGAAGATTAACACAGATTACAAACGACGAACTTGAAATTTCCAAGATGAACAAACCGAAGTAATTCATATAATCGCTGACGATTGCTATAGTTCCTAGATGTTGTCGTTTAGTGCGCAAATCTTAAATATACTTCGAATAACATCAACATATATTTCATGTAATTCCAATTCCATATTCAGTAACAATCCATTATTATTGGTGACAAATGTGAAGCATCTTACTTGTAATTTTGAACAGCCGTGTATGGAGCGCAAACAGGAATTGCAAACAGAAGTAAATCTTCAGAAAAAGGACAACCCGTCAGAGAATCAAGCAACGACATGCCTTCCTGTAAACAAACAAAACACTTGCGGCTCATTCTTACGCCCTGTCCACACTACGCCGGAGGAATTTGTCACGGAGGCTTCACTCTAAAAACGCATCAAACGTTTTCTGTCCACAATACGCCGGAGAAATTTGAAAACGCAACAATAACCGGTCAGTTTGGATTTGAGGTTGACGGAGACTCGGGCTAGGAAATCACATGATTATCGTGAAGTCAGGTTTCGAAAAGCTCCTTTTTCAAAACGTTTTCCGTCCACACCAAAACGCAAAAGCGGGCGATTTCAAATTCCTCCGGTTTGAAGAGCGTTTTCGAAAAACTTAGTGTGGACACTACCTTAACTTCTCCTTGTCAGATCAATAAAACGTTTTCACATAACGTCAAGGCGGCCATGTTGGTATTCCCAAACAATAAAACTTCTCTCCTTTGGGAAATTATAATGCAAGCATTTCCCATTGTTTGGGAGCACTAACATGGCCCCATCAAAACGCCCTACACACTGGAGGCACTTAGATGACGAAAAGAAATAACATTATCATTACCACCAAATTCTCATAACAACAGTGTAAGACATGTATGGGGATCACTAAGAGAATTGATATCTTGATCTTTCGACAGGAAGGGTTGAATAAACCAAAGTTTTAAACAAAGGAAATATCGTTATTACGTACTTTTTGTGGAAGATCTTCTGTCTCATCATCTGACGCAACCTGAATAAAAACAAGGTCAACATTTTGTGAATAAAGGAGGAAATATGCGGTAATCACTCAATCAGTCAGTAATAAAACTTTCTTACAAATCTCCAAAGTGTTGTTTACTTCCAGCCGATGAGCTGTGATTAGATCATAAAACTGGAGCTCCAACCAATCAGAGAGAAGAGTTTGTCTTACCAACCGCGGCTTCCACAGATTTTAGCACGCTTGACATCAGCCGCATGTTCTTAGGTCCTAGTTAAGGCCTGACTTATTTCTCTATACAATTTGCAACAATCACTAGAAATCTACCCCTCTAGCTTATATCTTGCGATATGACTGACCATCACGGGAAAAAATCTTTACAAGCTGTAGTCTCGATATACTCACGGTATCTTTTTCCATTTCTTTCTCATCTGTCAACGACTTCTGACCTGAAAGCAACGATGTTCAGTCAAAACTATCCCTTGATTCACATGCAGGAGCAGCTTATGACAGGCACAAACAGCAGCAATAATAACAAGAACTGCGTTTTCTCGCGGAACGAGAATGTTTACCAAATAGAAATCTGGCGAAACAACTTTGCACCCAAATGGAGAAATTGATATGAAATGAAATGAGATGTAATGAGAACTTTCATACCATTACGTTAGCTAGAAGTATGCCGAGTTGAAGTCGTTAGCTTTTCATAAAATCACTAGAATACGCCTCGGGTAAGACTTTCCTTTCCCTCGATTTCTCTCAACCAGCTTCCGCGTTCATCCTTAACTCGAAAATCGCGCGTCATTAAAGGAGTTCAGTCACGGGATTTTGAGTTATTTTGGCCACGTACAAAATTACCTTTAAACTTAAGGAAACCTGAAAATAGTAGTTTACTAAGATAGAGAAACACCACAGGGATGATAATAAACTATAAAGGAACAAGGATGTTAAAGAATGGAGAAGATTAACACGGATTACAAACGACGAACTTGAAAAATTTAGGCCAAGCTTTTCAAGAAGCGAAAACTGTGACGTAGCACCTTTAAGCAGTGACTGTACCTTCATTATAAACAGCTCCCATTGAGTTTTCCTCTACATTAACTTGACTTGACATACTTAATTCTTCAGTAGATTTATCCAACAAGTTCGCTTTTTCTTTATTCGTTGTCTCGTTATCAATAACCAGGTTTTCTTTATTGTTTTCATCAACTCCTGTTTCTCCACAATTGCTTGAATTTTGGCCAGTAAAGTTCCCTTCATTGCCTTCACTTTTATCGATACCCTCAGTAGATTGGACGTTATTTTCTTGATTTAATTGCATTCTTCCTTGTTCCGGAGATAAATTATTTTGTTTTGACATCTCGACTTGGTCTTTGTTTGTCTGCACATCCTTCTTTCCGGGTTTACCGCTGACCGGCCTGTTGGCTCCACCTCCTCCTCCCCATCCTTTCGCGCCTTTTTTTTCTTTCTTTCTTTTCTCTGCTTTGCTCTCCTTTGCAGGTCCAGCAGACTTAATAACAATACGAAGAAAGGGCAGCATTAGATAATCATAAAAGATATTGGACATTTACCCGCTCGAGAAATACACAGGTACTTGGGACAGGAATAATAAGCGACGTTCTCGAAGCTGACGCCGTTGTTATTTTCTCAACCTATTCAATGTTTGACTTAATTCTTCTTGTGAAATCAAAAGTAACATTCAAAAACAAACCCTACCGCCAGTATTTCCATCTTCATCTGTCGTTCCTCTTCGTCCTGTTCACCATATTTCTCTTTGATCTTCTTAAGTTTTGCCTTGAAGAAAAAACAAGTTTAACCGAACTGTTTTTCTAACTTTTGAGTCTGTAGATGAAACTCCAGTATGTGACAATTCAAATGAAAGCTATTGAACAGTACTTTCATGTGGTACTGTTTATTATGCTGTACAAAGTGGTTCTAATTTTTGAGTCTGTGGATAAAACCCTAGTGTGTGCCATTCAAATGAAAGCTACTGGAACAGTACTTTTACTCGTTACTGTTTCTTACCCTATGCACCGTGGTTGTTGTCACTTTTTTTTTGGATGAAACGCGTGTAAGCTTGTCAAAATTTGGAAAGCGTATTTACCTTCTTTCCTCTCTTGGGTGCCGGTTGCTGTTGTTGTTGTTGTTGTTGTTGTTGTTGTTGTTGTTGTTGTTGTTGTTGTTGTTGTTGTTGCTGCTGCTGCTGCTGTTGCTGTTGGTCACAGCTATTACTAGATTTCTGTAGACAAAATGAATTCAGTAAATTCAACTAGCTTTACCAATCATCAGAACCTAATTTCCTCTCCAAACTTTATTAAAGAAACATGCATGCAGACGAAAGGGGTTAAAAAATTGATACTCAACTGAAGGGAAAACCGTTTGATGTTTTAAAAATTCTCCTAATCAGCACCATAAGAACTTTAAAGCGAGTAACAAGGAGAATTTGCATGTTGAAATCAGAACGTTACGGGCCAGCAAGCTAACACACGTGGAACATGAAGACGGCGGTTTTGGGCCACCTTATTTGCCTGCTCGTTTTCTTCTTCAATTTCGTCATCTTCTTCTCTCTCCTGACTAAGATCGTCCTCAGCTTGTTTGCCCTTCTTTTTTCGGTTTTCCCTGAGATCAAATCAAATTTAAATTTAAAATAGGAATACGGTGCTGTAAATTGTCAAATAAAGGTATCTTATTAACCAAGCGCGAGGGACGTGTGCGGACTGAGTGCAGCGATGTCCGTACAAAAAAGACCGAGGACCAATGTTCGCCCAGCACGGTCCTGAGCAAGAGTGATCTATTGGACCGGCATGGCAATGGAGCAATATGATTGGTTGATTTTAGTTATTGCCCCTCTGAACTAACTTAGTCGTGTAATAAATATCATATCTCGAATAGAACGTTACATACATCACGATTACCGCAAAACAACTCTACACTCGTATTCTTACTTGGGTGTCGAAATGTAATTGGTTTTGCATTACCACGCAACAAAACCAACCGCACGCTCGCACATGTTTTCCCGCGCCGGCTACACATGTCGGCTACATGTACTTACTATGAGTTTTGATTGTTTCATTGGACTGTCTATGTCCTTTGTGATTGGGCAGAGTGATAACTTTAGTTTTGGTTTTACGACACTCAATTGAAAACCGCTCTAATAGCACGTAAAGTAATGTTTGTATCAGGTAATCAACCTAGTCCCAGGGTCTCCCATCTTCCCGTCCCATCCAGCGAGCGTAAAGAAGAGAACCTGGGAACGAGGTTGGCAGTGACTTGGGTTTGAATTTTTGCGCCAAGTAACAACCAATCAGAGAGGCGGATGTCGGTAGAGTTACGTTACGAGTATGGAAATAGAGACGTTTGCTTTCTCGGAGTATAACTGCAACTTAAATAAGTTACCTTCTCTGTTTCTTTGTAAGCCACTGTTTGTTCGCAGGCTGAAAAAGAAATCAGTTAAAAATCAGGTAACTTAAACATGAAGATTTAAAAGTCACTCAAATTCCGACGTTTCTTCGTTCGTTCGTATTTTTTGTCGAAATAGAGAGCAATGTCAAGCGAAAAAGCAGTGAAAAAGTAGGCCTCAATCTTAAACAAAAAAACAAGGGCCGGGGGTTCAATGGTGATTTAAATTCCGTTTTGTTTTAGTCCAAGATCCTACCTAATGAAGGAAGTTACTGGCTTGAGATCCAGGAGACAACTTTCGCGAAGCCATACCTGCTTGGTTTGCTCAAAAGAATTGATTTCCCCTTCCTCGCTGTCTTGACGGCTGCTACTTCTACTTGTACCACGCTGAAGTTGTACTCTAACGAACAAAACAGAACAACAACGTTGCAAAATCTACGATTACCCAGAAAAAACTGGAGTAGGAGAGCCGTATTTATACACAAACTTCTAGACTATAAGCAATCCCTCTTTCGCTTGGTCCATCGAACCAAAAGTGGGACTACGCGCATGTTTCATTATGCCCACAATGTTCTCTTTGGCGCTCGTTTAGTTTAAAGAAAGAAAAATGAACACACCCTTCTTTAAAATTTTTTTTTTCGGGCGAAGGGACCGGACTTTTAGTCCGGGCAAACTGACATCGGGCGAAACGACCCGCTACCCCACTCGAATTCTTTAAGGAAGGAATAGTTGGGAGGCTGGACGAAACATCTTTCTCTCTGGGAGTTTATACTACATCCGATATAAGACGTTATCATCACTGAAACAAACGTGAAGCAAGTGAACTATTTACTTTCCCTCCTTGGTGAGTTGTATGTCAATGCTAGTGTCAGGGAACAAACTGTTTTGCTCCTCCTCGTCCTCTTGATCATTTGTGTCTTGTACAGCAGAACTTGGTTGATTTTCATCGTCGCCTTCATCACTGGGAACAGACAGCTCTTCTTCTCCTTCGACACCCTACAAAAAGTCATGTTAAACAAGAAAAAAGTACGTACAAGAGGCGATGAGTATTTAGTGCGAAGGACAACCAGCATGACCCGGGTTTGAGCCCTGGACAGCATCACTAACATCTAACTCTCCAGTGCCTCTCTTTACTCGGGTGTCGAGAGTACACATGAGTACCGGTGAAGTGTTAGTGTAAAATGCTAGCGTGACCTTCCATGGAATAGTACTACGGCCATGGTCTACTTTACGCGTTGGTCTTTTTAAGCAAAACACCATTTAGACTCGATTTTTTTAGTCTCTACCGTGCTATAAAAAGCAAAGAAAGCAAAAAGGTGCAGGATCTTACCTCGACTGTTTCAGTATCCTCTACAGTTCGGACTCTCCTCTCGTTTAAGTGATTCTCGATGCACGTTTCATCAAGTTTAAACATAAAACCAAAGCCCATCATCAGGTAACAAGGTGGCAGGAAGTTCTTTTTGCCCCTTATCATGAAGCTCCCTGTGGTGAGGTACTCTCCCGTAGGTGCTGTCTTGGACACCTGTGAATGATGCACCCACCACGCTGAGGTCACGATTCGTGCCTCCCATGCTGCACTATATGATACCGCCATGCACCCGGCTTCATTCAGGGTCTTTGGCGGGACTGGCTGGCCCGTGGGGTTCTTTATTATAACACTTGTGGCACCGTGAAGATCTGCGTGCACGTACAGATCGCCTGTGGAAGAAAAAAAAATCATCAACTAAAAAATAACAATCAGAACTCGCACAGGAAAAAAGTAGTCAAGTGTCACCATGCACCGACAAACATGTAACTCAGATGTAAAGGGCGGGAAAACATGCAAGCGTCGCCAAAGGCGGGGAAAACATGCAAGCGTAAATACAAACATCACCAAGGGCTGGAAAACATGTAACCGTCACCAACAGTGGGAAAACATCTAAGGTTACCAAGGGCGGGAAAACATGAAAGCGTCGCCGAGAGTGGACAAGTATGCAAGTGTCGTAGAGGGCACGAAAACATTCCAGCGTCTCCAAAGGCGGAAAAACATGCAAGCGTTACCACCAGTAGAGAACAACAGACTTCGGCTTGACCGCTGACCTGGTTCTAAGTGTCTTTTGACCACAAGTTCGTTTTGTTGTTGATCACGTCCGCCGATGACCAGATAATTCTCAGAACTAATAAACCAAAGAAACTTCTCAAACCTTGAGAGTAAAAAAAAAGATTTAGTACATCAACTGCTGCCAAGATTTAAATATTAAACTATCCTAATAGGATCTCATTACCTCATATTTTAGTGTTACATTTAGATCTGAGAATTTAATAACACATCAAGACAATCCCTTTTTGATGATTGTCTTTACTCTCATCACCTGCTTGAAGATAATGTAGTGACATTGTAAAGAGATATTAAATGTTGACCAGAAATTCTTACCAGTAGGTCTTCCGAGCTTTCTTTATTCTTGTTGTTGTTTCAACTTCCTTGAGAGTTTCCTTTGTTTTTCGTTCTGCTGATTTCAGGGCCTAAAATTGAAAACGATTCTTAATCGTCTCAGAATCAGCCTTAAGCCAAAAAGTTGCAAATATTAAATCGATTGGTAAGACTTCAGGAACTCACCTTCTCGGAGGCATCTATTGTTTTCTGTTCCTTTTTAGAAGAGAATTTCTTTTTATCATAAAAGCTGAAAAATACAAAATGGGACAGATTTACAAGAAGTGCGCAAACTGGCAACGTTCTTCACAGTGAATAATAATAAACAAACCACGCCTCACACTTTTGTGACGTTTGTAAAACTTGAATGAAAACGTTTGTAAAACTTGAATGAAAACGTTTGTAAAACTTGAATGATGGCCAACATTGCAGGGATAATCACGGAGACCTCAATCGTCACTAGATCAGGAAAAGTTTGTAGCTGGGACTCTTTTATTCACTTTATGTTAAAAAGTGATTTTTCTGAATACAGTCCCACTTGACGCAGAGATTATCGGACCTAATTTACAGGCTGTTAAGTAAAGATATTTTTTATAGTCATTCAGTGGAGGGGAACTTCTAACTATTTTGGTTGGATTCCTACATCTGAAAATAAAGTGTGTGAGAGCTGCTAGGTCACTTGAGGAGAATGACCAAGTAAGTTTCACACCATACAGCTGACAAAAACGTTTCTAAATTATTCAGATATGGGAGATTCCGATTAAAAATAACGTGTACTATAGTTTGCTCTACCTTCGTGCGTTTGCATATGCAGATAAGGCCAGGTTGATATCAACTTTTGTAAACTTTGGTCCCTATAACAACAACAATAAAGTAATATATAACTTTAAAAAACATCAACTACAGACATTCTCAAATGTCAATGAAAATGATGCACATATATCAATATCAAGTGTAGCCAAAAGAATTGTCTGATAATTGAACGGAAAGACATGGCTGTAGTATTAAATCAATTTTTAAGCCAAACAAGAGGCATTACTTGCATGCTAAATTCAGATTATAATTCAATAATTACCCTTTTCTTCTTCTTCTTCTTTTTAGTCTTTTCATCTTCTTCCTCATCATCAGAGTCAGAATCAGAAAAATCATAAGGGTTTCTATTCAATGAAAACAGTTAATGATGAATATGATATTATATTGCTCCAGACCTGGAATTTTGTCCAGAATAACATTATTATAACCTAACCTGTTACTCTCACAGTACCTCTCTCCACCCAGGTGTATAAGTGGGTACCGGCAAACTTAATGCCTTTACGTACCTTACTTTACCTAACCTGATATATTTCATTATAAGAGCAGAAATACGCGAAATACGACGTCAACAGTAAAAGTAGTGGAGAGTGACACAGAGACCAAATTAAGAAAAGTTCACCAGAAAAATGGCCATGTAATCAACTGCGGGCAGCCATTTGTCCCTGCTCACATTTTCACTTTGTAGTTAACAAATTTAGAGGCTTTAGAAGGTAAAACAGCCAAGCAGAAGAAGTCAACACCTTAAGAATTATTGTATAAGGCAATAGTTATATACCGGACCTGAGGTTCATAGTGATATGGTTAGTTTCCAGTTTAAGTGCAGCAATAGCACATGCTACTTGGTCCCCCTGTGACTGGGCTTCCTTCACTATGCTGTTAATTTCAGACCAGTCAATCTGATTGGCGATGGCACTGTTGACAATCAGAATGGCCTTATCCACCTGGAAATAAGAGCTAATTGTCACTATAAGCACATATTAAGCAATGTTCCTTACAACATGGAAGAATCAACAACAGCTCTGATAGGTTTACATCTATAAGAAAAATAAATGAATTTCAGGTTCAATATTTTCAGTTATATGGAGCAAAGCCTCTTAGAGAGAGCAAATGCTAGTTGTGCTAAGTGGCTGGGCCATGCTGATAAATATATTGAAAAGGGGAAGAAATAAGACACTCAGTTGTGTGTGTACAAACACACACAATCAAAAAACGAAGAAACCTTAGGTATGGGCCATGCACTCATTAACAATACTAAAATGTCAAGTACACATACATCAATGAACCAGTAAACAGTTGGAAATTATCATTCTTTTAAGAGATTTTTGAAGCAAGTATGACCCCTGGATTTGAGATTTTCTTCATCAGGCTTTCATTGTTTTGCACTGTTAAAACACACCTCTCTGAAAGAACACCATTTGTTATAATGGTTGCCCATCCTCCATGTCATGTAACAATGCATAATGCATATGTTGTATAACAACCAACTAGCTAGTACATACTTTGTACACGCAGATCAACCAGCAGACACACTAATGGGTTAATTTTGATCTATCAACCTATCTATCAACCATCATGAGAAAAATTAATTCAATGATTTGTTAAATTAATGCCAACCCACCAGTGGTAAATTAAGCTCCACAAGTTCTGCTTTAAGCATGTCCAGATCCTGAGAACAATCAAGTCACACCAAGTTCTGTTAGTAAATGTGACAGCAAATGCATGCATGTTAGCTGTAACTTACTGCATGCCAAATTACTCGGTGCAAAAGTGTACCTCATGTTACAGTCAGGCCACAGGGCTTGAGAAAAACTTGAATTCCAGCTTCCCCTTTAGGGAAGTAACCCTCAAAAATTATTTTACTTGCCCTGGGCAAGTCCTAGTTTACTTTTTTTATTTAGTAGACAGATGGCCTGCCTGGGCTCTTTCCCATTGGGCAATTGAGAATAAAAAGTTACCTGCAAGCACAGCAGGAAAATCTACTTCCCTTGGGCGACCAGATGGCACTTTTTGTGAGCCCTGTGGCTAGTGCAGTATGGTACACTGTATATGTGAGCTACTATCAAATTTACAGCCCACTTTAAGATGAGTAGACCTACTATCTACATGTAGAGTCTACCTACCTGAGACTTTTGCAGTAACTCAATTCTCCTTTCATGATCTTTTCTAACATTTTCTAGCTTCTTCATTGCAGTTTTTTCTTGAGACAGAGCCTTCATATCAATTTTTTGACTTTCCATCTTTGAGAAGAACTCGTCCACTGCCTGAAAGTGCATTCAGAGATTAAATATTTGTTAAGCAGTCATGAACACAGGCACCACAGAGGCACTGCTTATGGTTACTCCAGACAGCCAGTACTCTAATTTTTAAATTAATATCATATCTTCTGTAATTAGTTACAAGGCAAGAGAGAGTACAAAATATAGATCACTGTTGTTGTTGTTCTTGTTGTATTCACTGGAAAAATGCATTAAACCCATTAAATTGCACAAAGAGAAATTTGACTGAACTACTTTTCACCTTTATCAGTCCTTAATGTGCCAAGGGACACACCTGCGAGATACTTTTAGCATATGATTTATACATAGAACTGTGCAAATGGAGGAATTAAGGACTTTTTGGGAGAGAGGTTGAAGAATGAAGTAATGGAACAAAAACAACTGTGAAATGTATTACCTTGTCAAATGATGGAAACTCCAGATATGGTCCTTTCTTGTGTTGATTTAGTAAGAATGGGTAGAATTCTTGATACCTAAAACATCATGTACAGAATGAAAGAAGAAAAAGCTAGTTTATCAAATATAATATCAAATGAATATTTGTTATGAAAATAAGTCACCTGAACATGAGCCCCAAATTCCTGGTAAAAAAACTCTGTTCATCACTAAATAGTCCTTCTGGTAATCCCCCTTCCTCCCAGCCCTCAAGTGCTGTCATTGTTTGCACCTCAAATTGAAAAATTCACCCGATTCACCCAGCTCAGATGAATTTAACTTACGTGAGGAGCTCATCTTGAACTTCACCATTGCTGGATGGCTTTTGTTCTCTTTTTTGAACAATAACTCCCTAAAAAGGAAAGAAATTGTTGTTAAAAGTTTAAAAAAAGTTAATGGAGGGAAATGGTTAGAAAACCTGGCAAAGTTCTTTATTGTACATGTATGTTTTTGTTGGCTATTTTGGAGGTTGACCTTGCACAAACCCTGACAAAACACAAAAGTTGGTTATGTGTGCTCATACAACTAACCAATAGAAGCACTGTGAAATCTAAAGTAATTCATGCATGGTCTATGAGCATAAAACAAAAGATGTGCAGGGTCAAGGACCTTCCAACATAAATCTTAGCCTGTTTGTCTGCTTCTTTTAATGTTTACCAGCCTTCCTAACCATTTCTCTCTATTAACAATGAAACAACTGACAACAGAAAGAACAGAGAACAAACTTTTTTTAACCATTCAAGATAATATTGTTATCAATTAACAATTCACATTCAAAATTATTTTTATTTTTTTACACCTCACTGAAATATCTAAGATCCACAAGTACAGCATGTAATAAATCAAAATGACAATTCTGACCTTGCATTTTGCGGTTAGTGTCAATTCAAGCAAACTTTCTGCTTTCTTCAGTGACTCCATAACCTTCGGAAGGTCTAAACAGAGAGGACATGATGCAAATCAACTGTTATGTATTTCTAAAAATTACTCATAAATGTCTGTGATTGGTGAACATCAGATTAGTCATTTTGGGAAAAAAATCTTATCTCATCTACATTAGTACTCTGAAATAAACAACAACAACAACATACTTTCTCTATCTGAAAACTCTTTTGTTATGTTTTGCTGTAATTCAAAATGTCTGCAAAAGTAATATAATTAATATTCTTGATAGGATCAATGCACAACGGCATGCATGTTCATACAAAAATTATTCATTTAATAACAAATTAGGATTTGTGTACTTATACATAGAGGAGGGCTTATAACTCGTTGCTAAATATGTACACATACACAAGTCAAGCTGTACAACATCTTGTATACAGGTACTCAACCACTGCTTCACTGGAGAATCACACAGTACTGATAGCACATCATAATTGTACATTTTGGCTTTAAAGGCTTACTAACCTTCTTCAAAATTAAATCCTTTTCCAATCTTGACATTTTCAGGGAATCCTTCTTCCATGAGGCAATGCTCCAATACAGCTGCACCATAAACTGTCAGTGAAATAGATCACTAGGATGTATAGTCACAATCATAAACAGAAAGAAATGTTAAAAATAATAACAATAAAAGGTTTGAAATATATATGGTACACCTGTACATGTACCTTCAGTATGACCACAGTATCAAGAGCTAGTTTGGCCACATACAAAATTACCTTTAAAATTGAAGGAAACCAGAAAAAGTAGTTTACTAAGATAGAAAAACAACAAAGAGATAAAAACCATAAAGGAGCAAGGATGGTTAAGGATGGCAAAGATTAACATTGATAACAAACAACGAACTTTAAAAATTTAGGCTTTAAACTTTTCAAGATACACAAACTGTGATGTAGTTCCAGTAAGTATCTTACCAAAATGTGGGTTTAACACCTTCTTTAACTCCATTCCCTCCTTGCTTTCTGTTAAAATGTCATGTAGTCTAAAAGTTGATTAAAAAGGAGTAATAATTTACTCAGTGTGTTAGTGAAAAAGTTTCAGGTATTATTAATAGCAAAGCCTCCTTACTTAAGGTGGTTCCCTATAGTTCTAGGATTGCATGTGCACATAGGACGAAAGCTCATTCACAAGTAATCTGCATGTGCTCAAAGGAAAACGTCAGTGTTTTTGCCGACTGTCACCTGACAGTCAGTTGGCCGACAGTTGGCCGACAGTTGGCCGACAGTTGNGTAACTCAGATGTAAAGGGCGGGAAAACATGCAAGCGTCGCCAAAGGCGGGGAAAACATGCAAGCGTAAATACAAACATCACCAAGGGCTGGAAAACATGTAACCGTCACCAACAGTGGGAAAACATCTAAGGTTACCAAGGGCGGGAAAACATGAAAGCGTCGCCGAGAGTGGACAAGTATGCAAGTGTCGTAGAGGGCACGAAAACATTCCAGCGTCTCCAAAGGCGGAAAAACATGCAAGCGTTACCACCAGTAGAGAACAACAGACTTCGGCTTGACCGCTGACCTGGTTCTAAGTGTCTTTTGACCACAAGTTCGTTTTGTTGTTGATCACGTCCGCCGATGACCAGATAATTCTCAGAACTAATAAACCAAAGAAACTTCTCAAACCTTGAGAGTAAAAAAAAAGATTTAGTACATCAACTGCTGCCAAGATTTAAATATTAAACTATCCTAATAGGATCTCATTACCTCATATTTTAGTGTTACATTTAGATCTGAGAATTTAATAACACATCAAGACAATCCCTTTTTGATGATTGTCTTTACTCTCATCACCTGCTTGAAGATAATGTAGTGACATTGTAAAGAGATATTAAATGTTGACCAGAAATTCTTACCAGTAGGTCTTCCGAGCTTTCTTTATTCTTGTTGTTGTTTCAACTTCCTTGAGAGTTTCCTTTGTTTTTCGTTCTGCTGATTTCAGGGCCTAAAATTGAAAACGATTCTTAATCGTCTCAGAATCAGCCTTAAGCCAAAAAGTTGCAAATATTAAATCGATTGGTAAGACTTCAGGAACTCACCTTCTCGGAGGCATCTATTGTTTTCTGTTCCTTTTTAGAAGAGAATTTCTTTTTATCATAAAAGCTGAAAAATACAAAATGGGACAGATTTACAAGAAGTGCGCAAACTGGCAACGTTCTTCACAGTGAATAATAATAAACAAACCACGCCTCACACTTTTGTGACGTTTGTAAAACTTGAATGAAAACGTTTGTAAAACTTGAATGATGGCCAACATTGCAGGGATAATCACGGAGACCTCAATCGTCACTAGATCAGGAAAAGATTGTAGCTGGGACTCTTTTATTCACTTTATGTTAAAAAGTGATTTTTCTGAATTATCGGACCTAATTTACAGGCTGTTAAGTAAAGATATTTTTTATAGTCATTCAGTGGAGGGGAACTTCTAACTATTTTGGTTGGATTCCTACATCTGAAAATAAAGTGTGCGAGAGCTGCTAGGTCACTTGAGGAGAATGATCAAGTAAGTTTCACACCATACAGCTGACAAAAACGTTTCTAAATTATTCAGATATGGGAGATTCCGATTAAAAATAACGTGTACTATAGTTTGCTCTACCTTCGTGCGTTTGCATATGCAGATAAGGCCAGGTTGATATCAACTTTTGTAAACTTTGGTCCCTATAACAACAACAATAAAGTAATATATAACTTTAAAAAACATCAACTACAGACATTCTCAAATGTCAATGAAAATGATGCACATATATCAATATCAAGTGTAGCCAAAAGAATTGTCTGATAATTGAACGGAAAGACATGGCTGTAGTATTAAATCAATTTTTAAGCCAAACAAGAGGCATTACTTGCATGCTAAATTCAGATTATAATTCAATAATTACCCTTTTCTTCTTCTTCTTCTTTTTAGTCTTTTCATCTTCTTCCTCATCATCAGAGTCAGAATCAGAAAAATCATAAGGGTTTCTATTCAATGAAAACAGTTAATGATGAATATGATATTATATTGCTCCAGACCTGGAATTTTGTCCAGAATAACATTATTATAACCTAACCTGTTACTCTCACAGTACCTCTCTCCACCCAGGTGTATAAGTGGGTACCGGCAAACTTAATGCCTTTACGTACCTTACTTTACCTAACCTGATATATTTCATTATAAGAGCAGAAATACGCGAAATACGACGTCAACAGTAAAAGTAGTGGAGAGTGACACAGAGACCAAATTAAGAAAAGTTCACCAGAAAAATGGCCATGTAATCAACTGCGGGCAGCCATTTGTCCCTGCTCACATTTTCACTTTGTAGTTAACAAATTTAGAGGCTTTAGAAGGTAAAACAGCCAAGCAGAAGAAGTCAACACCTTAAGAATTATTGTATAAGGCAATAGTTATATACCGGACCTGAGGTTCATAGTGATATGGTTAGTTTCCAGTTTAAGTGCAGCAATAGCACATGCTACTTGGTCCCCCTGTGACTGGGCTTCCTTCACTATGCTGTTAATTTCAGACCAGTCAATCTGATTGGCGATGGCACTGTTGACAATCAGAATGGCCTTATCCACCTGGAAATAAGAGCTAATTGTCACTATAAGCACATATTAAGCAATGTTCCTTACAACATGGAAGAATCAACAACAGCTCTGATAGGTTTACATCTATAAGAAAAATAAATGAATTTCAGGTTCAATATTTTCAGTTATATGGAGCAAAGCCTCTTAGAGAGAGCAAATGCTAGTTGTGCTAAGTGGCTGGGCCATGCTGATAAATATATTGAAAAGGGGAAGAAATAAGACACTCAGTTGTGTGTGTACAAACACACACAATCAAAAAACGAAGAAACCTTAGGTATGGGCCATGCACTCATTAACAATACTAAAATGTCAAGTACACATACATCAATGAACCAGTAAACAGTTGGAAATTATCATTCTTTTAAGAGATTTTTGAAGCAAGTATGACCCCTGGATTTGAGATTTTCTTCATCAGGCTTTCATTGTTTTGCACTGTTAAAACACACCTCTCTGAAAGAACACCATTTGTTATAATGGTTGCCCATCCTCCATGTCATGTAACAATGCATAATGCATATGTTGTATAACAACCAACTAGCTAGTACATACTTTGTACACGCAGATCAACCAGCAGACACACTAATGGGTTAATTTTGATCTATCAACCTATCTATCAACCATCATGAGAAAAATTAATTCAATGATTTGTTAAATTAATGCCAACCCACCAGTGGTAAATTAAGCTCCACAAGTTCTGCTTTAAGCATGTCCAGATCCTGAGAACAATCAAGTCACACCAAGTTCTGTTAGTAAATGTGACAGCAAATGCATGCATGTTAGCTGTAACTTACTGCATGCCAAATTACTCGGTGCAAAAGTGTACCTCATGTTACAGTCAGGCCACAGGGCTTGAGAAAAACTTGAATTCCAGCTTCCCCTTTAGGGAAGTAACCCTCAAAAATTATTTTACTTGCCCTGGGCAAGTCCTAGTTTACTTTTTTTATTTAGTAGACAGATGGCCTGCCTGGGCTCTTTCCCATTGGGCAATTGAGAATAAAAAGTTACCTGCAAGCACAGCAGGAAAATCTACTTCCCTTGGGCGACCAGATGGCACTTTTTGTGAGCCCTGTGGCTAGTGCAGTATGGTACACTGTATATGTGAGCTACTATCAAATTTACAGCCCACTTTAAGATGAGTAGACCTACTATCTACATGTAGAGTCTACCTACCTGAGACTTTTGCAGTAACTCAATTCTCCTTTCATGATCTTTTCTAACATTTTCTAGCTTCTTCATTGCAGTTTTTTCTTGAGACAGAGCCTTCATATCAATTTTTTGACTTTCCATCTTTGAGAAGAACTCGTCCACTGCCTGAAAGTGCATTCAGAGATTAAATATTTGTTAAGCAGTCATGAACACAGGCACCACAGAGGCACTGCTTATGGTTACTCCAGACAGCCAGTACTCTAATTTTTAAATTAATATCATATCTTCTGTAATTAGTTACAAGGCAAGAGAGAGTACAAAATATAGATCACTGTTGTTGTTGTTCTTGTTGTATTCACTGGAAAAATGCATTAAACCCATTAAATTGCACAAAGAGAAATTTGACTGAACTACTTTTCACCTTTATCAGTCCTTAATGTGCCAAGGGACACACCTGCGAGATACTTTTAGCATATGATTTATACATAGAACTGTGCAAATGGAGGAATTAAGGACTTTTTGGGAGAGAGGTTGAAGAATGAAGTAATGGAACAAAAACAACTGTGAAATGTATTACCTTGTCAAATGATGGAAACTCCAGATATGGTCCTTTCTTGTGTTGATTTAGTAAGAATGGGTAGAATTCTTGATACCTAAAACATCATGTACAGAATGAAAGAAGAAAAAGCTAGTTTATCAAATATAATATCAAATGAATATTTGTTATGAAAATAAGTCACCTGAACATGAGCCCCAAATTCCTGGTAAAAAAACTCTGTTCATCACTAAATAGTCCTTCTGGTAATCCCCCTTCCTCCCAGCCCTCAAGTGCTGTCATTGTTTGCACCTCAAATTGAAAAATTCACCCGATTCACCCAGCTCAGATGAATTTAACTTACGTGAGGAGCTCATCTTGAACTTCACCATTGCTGGATGGCTTTTGTTCTCTTTTTTGAACAATAACTCCCTAAAAAGGAAAGAAATTGTTGTTAAAAGTTTAAAAAAAGTTAATGGAGGGAAATGGTTAGAAAACCTGGCAAAGTTCTTTATTGTACATGTATGTTTTTGTTGGCTATTTTGGAGGTTGACCTTGCACAAACCCTGACAAAACACAAAAGTTGGTTATGTGTGCTCATACAACTAACCAATAGAAGCACTGTGAAATCTAAAGTAATTCATGCATGGTCTATGAGCATAAAACAAAAGATGTGCAGGGTCAAGGACCTTCCAACATAAATCTTAGCCTGTTTGTCTGCTTCTTTTAATGTTTACCAGCCTTCCTAACCATTTCTCTCTATTAACAATGAAACAACTGACAACAGAAAGAACAGAGAACAAACTTTTTTTAACCATTCAAGATAATATTGTTATCAATTAACAATTCACATTCAAAATTATTTTTATTTTTTTACACCTCACTGAAATATCTAAGATCCACAAGTACAGCATGTAATAAATCAAAATGACAATTCTGACCTTGCATTTTGCGGTTAGTGTCAATTCAAGCAAACTTTCTGCTTTCTTCAGTGACTCCATAACCTTCGGAAGGTCTAAACAGAGAGGACATGATGCAAATCAACTGTTATGTATTTCTAAAAATTACTCATAAATGTCTGTGATTGGTGAACATCAGATTAGTCATTTTGGGAAAAAAATCTTATCTCATCTACATTAGTACTCTGAAATAAACAACAACAACAACATACTTTCTCTATCTGAAAACTCTTTTGTTATGTTTTGCTGTAATTCAAAATGTCTGCAAAAGTAATATAATTAATATTCTTGATAGGATCAATGCACAACGGCATGCATGTTCATACAAAAATTATTCATTTAATAACAAATTAGGATTTGTGTACTTATACATAGAGGAGGGCTTATAACTCGTTGCTAAATATGTACACATACACAAGTCAAGCTGTACAACATCTTGTATACAGGTACTCAACCACTGCTTCACTGGAGAATCACACAGTACTGATAGCACATCATAATTGTACATTTTGGCTTTAAAGGCTTACTAACCTTCTTCAAAATTAAATCCTTTTCCAATCTTGACATTTTCAGGGAATCCTTCTTCCATGAGGCAATGCTCCAATACAGCTGCACCATAAACTGTCAGTGAAATAGATCACTAGGATGTATAGTCACAATCATAAACAGAAAGAAATGTTAAAAATAATAACAATAAAAGGTTTGAAATATATATGGTACACCTGTACATGTACCTTCAGTATGACCACAGTATCAAGAGCTAGTTTGGCCACATACAAAATTACCTTTAAAATTGAAGGAAACCAGAAAAAGTAGTTTACTAAGATAGAAAAACAACAAAGAGATAAAAACCATAAAGGAGCAAGGATGGTTAAGGATGGCAAAGATTAACATTGATAACAAACAACGAACTTTAAAAATTTAGGCTTTAAACTTTTCAAGATACACAAACTGTGATGTAGTTCCAGTAAGTATCTTACCAAAATGTGGGTTTAACACCTTCTTTAACTCCATTCCCTCCTTGCTTTCTGTTAAAATGTCATGTAGTCTAAAAGTTGATTAAAAAGGAGTAATAATTTACTCAGTGTGTTAGTGAAAAAGTTTCAGGTATTATTAATAGCAAAGCCTCCTTACTTAAGGTGGTTCCCTATAGTTCTAGGATTGCATGTGCACATAGGACGAAAGCTCATTCACAAGTAATCTGCATGTGCTCAAAGGAAAACGTCAGTGTTTTTGCCGACTGTCACCTGACAGTCAGTTGGCCGACAGTTGGCCGACAGTTGGCCGACAGTTGGCCGACAGTTGGCCGACAGTTGGCCGACAGTTGGCTGACAGTCAGCCAACAATTGGCCAACAGTCGGATGACAGACGGCCAACAGTCAGCCGACTATTGGCATGCAACTACATGTACTGTACTTAGAGAGGAAATCACATCAACCATAGTTGGTTTTCATGCAGGTCCTCTATCCTGGTTGAATTGGAATTTGGAGATGTTGGTTTTTGTAGAGGGAGGAAAACCAGAGAGCCCAGAGAAAGACCCCTGAAGCAAGGCAAGAACCAACAACAAACTCAGCCCAGATATATTGTATAGCACTGGGCCGGAATTGAACCTGGGCCACGTTGGTGGGAAGCGAGCACACTCAGCACTGCACCATCTCTATCTAGCTCATTAAATCACACAATACACAATCTACCTTTCTAGGCTCATCAATGGCTCTCTTTGCCTTGCAGAATTCACAGGGTATTTTTCTCGTACAGCAAATCTGACATCTTCAGTGTCTGTTCTTGTTCTTAGAAGACTCAAGATTGTGTATTCAAAATCAGTCAGCACAATGTTACCCTGAAATACATGCAAGTGCAAATGCAATGAATACATTATAAATCAACTAGTTATAGACTGATACAGTAAATCTTTACTGGCAAGTTTATACAACAAAATCATTACTGTTGCTAATTTCTTGTTTAAGTTTAAAATTTGCCCAAAACACAACAATGGAAAAATTGTTGGAGATAGATATCACAGTTAATTTTTTGATCTCAGTTAATTTTTGATTTCAACTATATGTGGTTCATTTTCTCCTACCTAGTTTTCAATTTATCCCTAGTCAAGGACAGTTTGTCTGAGAGCATGTCTCAAACCATTCTCGAGAGATAATAAGAAACATTTCACCATGACAATAAGTTTCATGTAGAAATATTTAATTCACCCATATTCTAAGTTTATGTAAACAGAGTAAAAATGTTTTACCCTGTCATAAAGCTCGACAATCAAGTGATAGGCTGCTTCATCTGAACCAAACTGCAAGTCCACAATACGATCAATACCCAACTGACTGATGTTCACAAGCCTGCGAGATCGGATATGCTTACGGCACTGAAAACAATTAAGGTAATTTCATAATAAATTTCACTGAACAATGATTATGAAAGCTACCAACAACCCTGCCACTATGATAAAAACTTTTCAAGGAGGCATGAGCATCAACCAAATCTCCTCCTGCAGTAGGTTATGAGACATGACTGTCAAAAAATAATTTCCATTTACCTTCATTGAAAATCCAGATGGCATCAAATTTTTGGGCCACTCAAATTCTGTTGTGTTTATTCTGTTACCAGACTCAACCAACAACATGACTTTTACATCTGTCCTTTAAAATTCAGTACAAAAAAAAATTGTACCAAGTTAGCGAGAACTTGTACAAAATTAATTGAATCCAAATGATTTCTATTTTTCAAAATACGCTTTATCATGATATGATATTTTATCGTCTGGTTATCATGATATTTTGAGTTTAGCAGCTTCATTGTTCGAGAAGACGGCTAATTTTGCCATCTTTTGTAAAGAATGTACTAAAGGCATCCATGGTTGAGTGTCGATCGATACCCTTTATCAACCCTCGAGCAACCCTCAATCAATACGTAATCAATACTGGATCAACACATTGGTTGACACTCAATTGATACTCGATCGACATTCTGGTCAAACATCGGTTGAGAGTCAACTAATTTTCACAGACACGCAATCAAGTGTCGATTGATACATAAGGGTCAATCAACACTCCACTGTATATCGACCAACACTCAATTGAGTGTCAATCAGGTGTTGATCACATTGATCGAGTGTCAACCTGGTTTCAACCGAGCAGCGATTGACATGTTGATCAAGTGGTGATCAAGATTGCCCGAGTGTTGATCACAGGTTGATCAAGAGTATTGATTGACACTCAACTATGGATGCCTTTAGTACACGTGATCCACAAATTAGACAAATAGCCCAGTAGGGTAGCTGGTCAAGATCGTAAAGTAAATTGTATATGGTGATTTTTGCTAGCTACATTTGACAATCCTGTTTACACAAAACAGTTCTGCAAAAAAGTGTTCCAAAAGAACCTTCCTCTTTTGCAAGACAATTTGCATATTAAAAAATCGCAGGGTTCCTATATGACAAGACCAGATACTGGTAAAATCTGTTTCAGGGCAGCAATTTTAATGATCCATCTCAACAGATTTTCGTACTTAAGCAATCAATGCAACAACTATTCAATTAATTGTGACAGTAAGGACTTCAACACATATATGTGGACATCAGCTAAATTAAATGTTTCCCTACACGTCCACCATTCCCTTCCCTTATCTACTTAAAAAATTAAAAACAGTGAGAAACATAGCCTGCTAAGCTTTTGCCCAGGGGGGAAAGGTACTCCCAGAAAAGTTGGGTGGGGGTGTGCGGCCCACTTCCCAAAACCCTTACCCTATTTATGACCAAAATCTGTGATTTTTCCTACCCTATTTATGACCTGGCCAAAAATTCAATACCCTATTTATAACCATTGCGGCTGGCGCAGTTGCCTTAAACTTAAGTTATGAAGGGCTTTTCTTGACATTCTTGTTGAAAACAAAGAAAAGGTAGCTTCTTCTAAGAAATATACCCAATTAAAGACTAGAGTGCTAAAACCATACCCTATTTATGACCAAAATGGCCAAAATCGATACCCTATTTATGACCAAAATGACTGAAAAACCCTACTCTTTGGGGCCGCACATACCTATATAGCCCATATGAGGGAGTTTTCTCCCAGGAGCTTTTGCTGTTGTAATCTCAAGCTACTTACTTTCCCAGTCTAATCAGGTAGGTCTTGCTATCAATGTCATAAACATTAGCCACTCTCATACCTAGAAGACTGCCACAAAAGGAAAATAACAGATATGCTTAAGTATAAATTCACCAAGGTTAGTAAGGTAGTGAAATATCTTGGTGAATGTTATTATAATTTAAGCTATATATTATCATAATTTGCAATTGGCAAAGCTCTGTGGAAGAGCACTGAACTTTGATATGGACATTGTAGATATATATAGAATTTATTATTTCTTTTAATATTTAAGCTTACAATAGTTTAATATATTTATAGGGGCCTTTAGCAGGGGTTTCAATAAAAGCTGGTTACTGGAGGTCTACCGCCGCCTGTAGGACCCCTTACCGCTGTCTGTTTGGATTTCATTAATGAAAATAAAAATGATATCAATAAAAAAAAGCAAATACAACAACAATGATGACCACTGAAATTTTTAAATGCTACAAAAAAGCAGGCAAAACAGACCCAAGGCCAAAAAACTGAAGCGCACAAGATAATTTCAACGTCCGGCGATACACTAAAAAACTGAAGCCTCGACATCATGACAAAGCAGACTCTGGGACAAACTCTAACAGGAACCAGTCGATCGTCATCAACCAGTAGGAATGATGTTATTATTTCTTTGGATTGATTACCTTTATGCAAAGAATAATCCAATAATTGCTGAATATTATTGTAGTTTCATTCGAATCTGTAGAATAAACAGCTTTTGACACATTGTTTTAAGTTAGTTTTTACAATAACTTTCAGTGGATATCAAGTGTCACTGAGAGATATCTGCCTATAAAGGTATTCAAAATGCAACTCTTTGCATCAAAAAATTAATAGTTAGTAAAAAAAAATCCTGCTTTGTGGTCAATAAAAATATCCATCAACAGCATGCTTTCTGATGCCCAGAACGCTGGAAATCGCATTTCCGAGCTTCTAGATTTCCAATTTTTCTTGGGGGCGGGGATGTCCCCAGAGCCCCCCTAGGGGAAAGGGACCTTATGGCCCCCTTAGTGGTCACAGCCGCCTATTACACCTTCAGTAGCCGCTCTTAACTAATGTTATTGAAACTCCTGCTTTAGTCACAAAAGTCCTCAGTTATTATCATGAAAGCGTCTCTACTTCTCACCTTTCTCTTAGTTCCGTTATAACTGCACAGAGATCTACTGTCGTGAATCTATTCTTCATTTTGGCGACACAAATTCGGGAAAAGAACAAGAAAAACTACGTGAAAATACAAGAACAAGTTAGATTTTTACTTTCTCGCCGATTCATCCGCCATGTCCGCCATATTGGATATTAGTTGCACATGGCTTTCAACAGTAAACCGCTGGTGAAGAGAGTCCCTTGGCATTCTCGTCCCCAGAGGCCGCGCCCCTTTTTCGGTGCTGAACTGGT